TGTCATGGTAGAAACAAACTATCGGTAACGATCAAGTACACCTGAGTTTTGGGTGCAAATCTTCCGACGTATCCGACGGCTCGGCCATGGGCTGAATTTTTACTCAACGGCTTTCATCAAGTGCACGTGCGCAATAATGGAAGTCCGTGTAGTTGACAAGTTGACATATTCTTCTCGAGTTAAGATAAATAAGTGTGATTTGAATTCATCATAAGCTCAGATCAGCAATAAACATCATCAGTACGTAAAGAATTGGTATGTCCACTAAAACGGTTAACTCTAAAAGTGACAACATAGGCTAAAAATTTGGTCTACTCACTTTGAAAACTGAAAAATCGAGGCGCACATAAACAATCAAACACAGGAAGATAACGCAGAACGCAGTAATTAGCATCAACGGCTCGCGAAGCATCATGACCATATTGAACTGGTAATTGAGCTAATTCGGGAGGAAGGAAAGGAACGTTGATCAATAGCAACTTGTCAAAGGATATTGAACTATCACTCCTTTTAAAAAATGCAAGTAAACTTGTCTAAACAAAATAGTATTCTTAAGGTACAATATATCGGAAAAGTCCACATAAATAAAATAATCTGATAAGTTGATTCCGTTGGTGGTATTTGAATAAAAATCTTTTATAGCTAAGAGGATTGTACTACAGAGTAAGACGTGGTCCAATTTTGCCATCTGGTGATAGGCGTCTGCCTTTTTGTCTCATTGTTATGCCTTTCATATTGGAATTTTGTGTAGCTATTCATTTTGGTGGTAGGCAGCTCTGCTGTCATCCGGTTCAATACTATGCCTAACCTATCGGGGCCTTTTGCGGTTCGCCACTCCAAGTCCCGGGGCTTAGGTTGCCGGTTACCATCGCTGAACAACAGGTCCTCGTGACTACGGGGTTCGCTCCGTCTGCTGTTCAACACACTTCGGTGTGTAATAAATAAACGGAACCCATGAGACAATTTTTAACGTTTATTCTTACCTTGAAATGAGTCCTAGCAGTTTTGGAGCTTGTTTCATTACTGGATACGATGTTACGGTATATTATACAATATATCGCAGTAAACAATAAGAAATGTTCCATAAAACTTGATAATAGAGGCATTTCAGTGCATTCTGTGCTACGCAAAATGTTGTTGGGTTGGTCCAGCACCCAGTCTCATCCTGACTGGGGAAGTAGTAGAGAAAGTGGACAAGTTTTTCTTTCTGGGTAGCTATATCTCACCTGGCGGACGCATCACAGGTGAAGTGTCGGCGCGCATACAAAAGGCTTGGTTGGCATTTGCCAACTTGAGAAATTTGTGGCGCCGTCGCGACATCCGATTGTCTGTGAAGGGTCGAGTATATGCTGCAGCAGTTCGGCCAGTGCTGCTTTACGGTGCAAAGACTTGGCCTTTACGGGATCAGGACAAAAATAGATTGTCGGTCTGCAAACACCGCTATCTACATCGTATTGCACGGGTCTAGTTGGGAAACCGGACGAGCAATGCTGAGGCTAGGTGCAGTTTTAGGTAGCCACGGCCGTCCACTGGAGCAAGTGGTGGACCTCCATAGATTACGTTGGTCGGGGCATGTGTTTTGCATGTCACCAAATGGATTGCCTCGGCGAGAGATGTTTGCAGGGGCAGGCAGTGGATGGAAAAAGGTCAAAGGTGGTCAAACGAAGACCTGTCACGAGGGTGTGAAAACCCTAACCAGGAGACTAGGTCACATAGGTCCCGTTAGGCTCCCTGGATGGGGGGGGGGGTTCCGATATGATGTTCACCGATGGTTAGAGACCCAGAGTGATATGACTGGGTATCGGAAACAGTGAAACCCGTGCATCTACTCATTATTCTCCTAACATCACTCTATATGAAGTCTCTATCTCCAGCTTGAATTTGCTTTCAACATTCCGATTTTTATTCTGCTCTTTTATCCAAATGGGCGGCCAAAAGACAGCAACCAAAACCGGCGCACCAAAGTCCATGGTTAATGGTTTTTAAAAACTTAAACTGTGTTATGTTCCATCCATGTACAAAATGCTTCCGTCGGATGGTTGCCATGGCGTTGTTTTCAGCTTTGTATCTCTTTTGAAGATACACAATGGTAGGTAGATGAAATGTTCATAATGTTTCTTGTCGTATAGGTGAAGTCTAATCGACGTTGGTAAATCTGAGGAGTCTCTGGTCGGAGCATCTGATTCATTGTGAAGAGAGGAGTATGGAATACCGGAGTAAGCGGTGTTTCATGTGGTTAGCACCCTGCCTATACGATTCTAGAACGTACATTATATTTAACACCGGCTTGTGGACAAGTATGGTGCCAACGCCACAACAATAATAACAATAATGGAGGGCAGGTGGATTGGGATACAGAGCAAAGCGGAAAGATGGAGAATCTTTGTCCAGCAGTCTGACTGCGAAACGTTATTAACGTTTAATGGTAACACCGAATGAACGATGTTTGATTATGGAAGTGCGTTTAGCTAGTTGTGGATGTACTTTACCGGTTTTCGTGGTTGACGGATCGTTAGCACTTTCCGAATATGGCTGGGAAAACGGTGCAGCTGGATCACGTCATCCGGGAAAAGTTATCGATACATGGGTTAGTTCATCTCTCCGGAGTACTTGGATGAGGTGAACGAATGAATGAATTTGTTGATTAATGATTTTTAGGGGTGTATGATAAATAAAACGCCATGAACATCGTGGAGAATGCATTCCGATGCTTTTAGCTTATAAAATAACGATGGAAAACAACTCATCATTCAATCAGCGCAATTTCTGCTGTTCGGTAGTTTTGTTTGTTCTACCGTATTACATAATGCATGTGATCATTACCTCAAAGTCTTTGATATGTTCGCTGACCAAATTCCGTGCGTTGAAAACAAGGACAGTTCGACCGGTAGTGTCCAAGTAGGTTTTTAGTACTTCTCTAGGGTTTTCGGTAACCGGATATGGTGGAATAAACTCAATATTTGTAGCCAGTTCCGGCAAGACAATTTTCACCGTCAGATCTTCAATTAGTTGATCGTCGTAAACATGATCCACGAAACGCATTTTCAGCTTGAATTGTGAACCTTGAGAGAAAATAACGATGATTTACAATTAGTGGGGAGATATCGCTTATTTCAGAAGGTAATCACACACATATGCATATATTAAAAACATACGGTACTGTATTGATCATAATTTTCGTAGATTGGCTAGTAAAATTTCGTGTTCAGTTGATTACCGAGCTTGGCAATTAGATTTCAGACGTTTTATCACAGGCGATGTGACATTTTCTCTCCTGTGCATTAGGAATTCCAGCAAGATTGATGACGAAGTCTGCAATCTAAACACCAAACTCGAACTGAAAAAACGACGAAAATTACTTTTTAATCTTCGTTCATTGAAAAGGTCTTGTGAAACAAAAAATGCCACTGTTGCTCTTATTCTTTTTTGTCCATTTATTTTTCTACATCAATCCCTATTTTGACACGACGCACCGTTTCAACCATCATTTTTGTCGCTTTGGCACCATGCTTGTCTGAAAGCCAGATAATTTTCAAGGTTTTCTGGACAGTTTGAGTGCTAGTGCAGCAATGTTTGTTATGCGTTTCGCACATTCGAAATGCAAAATATTGCTACAGGACTGCGTCGATCCAGTCCCCAATCTTACTTTAACTGTGACAGTAGAGGAAACAGATAAGTTTTGCTATTCGAGCAACTGCATCTCATCTGGAAGACGCATCACAGATGAAGTGTGGCCAAGCATACAGAGCGCTCCATTAGGACTTAACAACTTGGGACATCAGTGGTGCCGTCGTGACATCTGACTGTCTGTAAAGGATGGAGTGTATGTTTTTTATTACACACATTTGTGTGGTGAACAGCAGACGGAATGAAACTCATAGTCACGAAGACATGCTGCTCCGTCACGGAAACCCGGGACTTGAAGCGGCGAACCCCATAAGGTTCCGCTAGGTTAGGCGTGGTATTGAACCGGACGACAGCAAAGCTTTCTACCACCAAT